CGCCTCCGCGACAACTACTGTCTCGTACTGTCGCGTACCACTCGTACCACTCGTACCAGTCGTACCACTCGTACCACAGTCCCCGATACACATCCCGATACCCGAAATAAGCACGGCCAGAGATCCTTCGGCAGCACATTCGTGGTAAGTATCACATAACAAAGCAAAAGAAAAACAAAATACACCCATGCAATAGAAATCGCTCCTTGTGAGGTTTCGTGTTACGAAAGGCGCTCCTTCGGTAGCGACGGAGTTAGAGAGAGTCGCGGCACACAACGTGGCGTCGGCGCCGCTGGTCATGCTCTAGGTGCTAGCCAGGCGGACAATCATTCACGAGCTGTGCGTTCAGTAACACGTATGCCTACGTCCCATCGTCAGCTATAGAACATAGCTCGTAGCGAGCCTCCATTTTATTTCCTTTTGCTTTGTTATCAATCAGCATCGATATGCAAGGAACTGCAAGCTTTGCGTCTGCTGACGCAATTGCTACATAAGCTACGTCCTCGCGGACAATTAAATCACCTTTTATTATTTTAAAATTTAAGTCTTGCTTGTCCTTGCAAAAATTTCCGTTACAAGAGATCAACATGAATTTAACAATTTTAATTTAATTAGTTATACATATAAAGAAGAAAAAAGAGAGTGAGACTTACCAAGCCGACGAGCAGAAAAAAAACCAAAAATGTTCTGCCAAGAACTGTGTGACAGAAGACGTCACCGTAACCTACTGTGGACATGGTCACTATGAGAAAGTACACACACGTCCAGTACGAGAGCGACTGCGCGTTGTCGAATTCCAGCGGGTCGCCGGAGTTCTCCAGCTGCGGACAGAATACCGTGACATTTTAAACAACATTTAAAAACCATAAAAAGCACAGACAAATCAATACTACAAATTATGTATATCGCAGTAATCCTTCTATGTAAAATTAACTATGTAAACTCTTTATTAATTTATCTTTGTTAGTTACTTAGTCGACCAATGTCTTATACATCAATAGATGGCGCTAGAGTTCTTTTAGATCACGATAACACTTTTTTTAATTAGTTTTTAAAAGTAAAAATGCATTTTTTATAATTCTAATGAATACCGTAGTTTGGAATGAGGATGTCTTACAGGTTAAATATACGGAACTCACCAAATGTATAATACCGGCTGCGGTCAACCATACCGATATAAATATAGAAACTAATTGGGCCAGCCGTATCGAACTCGATGTCTTTAATATATTGAGGTACTGCAAAATATCAGGCACGGTCATCAAACGGAGAGCTCGGAGGAACCTTAGCCCTGCAAACAAAATAATAATACTAAAATTATTATTACTAATATAAATGCGAAAGTATATATGAATGGAAGTTTGTTTGAGTTTGTAGTCTACACAGCTGAACGGATCTCTATGAAATTTGAACATAGTCTGGTAGAACACAAAAAATACTTGGTTTTGTATTTAATTCCAAGCGTAATTATAATTTACCTGGCTATTTCTGACCAATAGTCCAGGAGTTAAAATGCATTACATTCAGATTAATAGATTCCTCGTTTTTATTGATTTTATCTAACCTATCTTATTATCTATTGAATCTTCAATCAAATACAGTACTTTTGTAGTTTGTGATTAAAATTTAATGTATTTTTGATTAAAAATAATTCTGAAATAACAAAATTAAAATAGGATAGGAGGTGTAACTTACCTATCCACGTTCTATCCAGATATATCGATACAAAGGAGGGGGGTATTGTGAAATAATCTACAAATGAATACATCTCGAGCATGAACCATAGTTTGTCACTAGCTGCTATAAACTGAAACAGAAGATAATATTTAGTGAGATCGATTCCGTCCCAGTAATTACTCGTCCTAAAAACCACCGATGTATTCGTAACTAGTGAGTGCCCTAACCGGAGGTATAGCAGTTTTTAGTTAGTTATTTTGACGGAATATTTACCTTTATTTAAAAGATTTTCAACTACAAAAATGTTAACTTATTTTCTGAATCTCGTGATGTTAAGTATATCATTTGTAGGATTCAAGTTTTTGTTACTATAAAGTCTTAATAAAACAAAGGTTTTGCGCTAATTGGGTCACATCAGTTATAATTTCTCATAAAGCCAACATTAACTTTTGCACTCGATTACCACGAAAAACTTTTATTGAATTTGATTGTTTTTAATGTTAACAACTTATCAACTGACTGATGTACTTAATTTTACAGCCATTGTTATTCGTTTTTATAACAATTAATTACTTACTCGTATAAAAAAGTAGACCATAAAAAATATGTTAAAGGCAAGGTCGATCTGCTGAGTAATATTGTCACTCCATTTCTGGCAGCGCTCCACTTCCTCACTGCAAATAGATGATAGCATTAGGCAATCGGAGTGTCGACAATATATGTCCTCGTTCTAACCAAATTATATCCGGAACTACCCATGCGAAAGAGTTACACACAAATAACTCTTAACGCCATTGCTATTGAGTTGCTATTAAGATATGTAATTCAATCATTTAAGTACCTTTGCGATTTACACGACGATGTTACAGTAACTCTTCGCATGGGTCAAAGTATACCGGTCATTAGTGCATAGTGCCGTATCAGTAGACGTTTTTACTAACATTTAGCATTTAAAAGCAAGTGTTCACAGCCATTGTTATAAAAGCTTATATACAAGCGTTTCAACTTCCATAACATTGTACATATTATGTATTGTAACATGTTATGTTATGCATCATTTGTTAATTCCGTCATAACGGTGACGTAATCACGAAGCCAACGACTACATAACATTTCAGCTGACAAATTAAACACAAGCTATACACATAATGACTATGTCCAGCAAATGTGTCGGTTCACATTTATATTAATTTGACTCACGGATTCCTTTATTCAGCATCGGCATTACAAGATTGGCATTAATTAGCGCGTTAGGACAAAATGTAAATATGTAAATACGCAATGACTTGCAGCGGAATTATTGACGACAGAGAATTTTTTAAGGGTTCCACTGCTAGAATGCAAACGATACATGCCATTATCTTCTATCTGTATCTATCTATACATATAACATTGGAGTGTCTGTTTGTAATATCAAAAAAAAAAATACCAGATTTCGGTAGATGTATTTGCGTCGCTGATATTAGAAATCGCATTTAAAAATGTTTTGTCTGTTTGTCTGTCCGCAAGCTGCGTTTGTTCTGGCGATCTCCTAAACGGCTGACATAGATGGGAATATTATAGGCTACTCTTTTTTATACTGCGCTGTCAAAATGGCGTAACGTGTGATCCAAGTGTGCGCTAACGAAGTTTGCGGGCAATAGCTCGTAATCTATAAAGTAAACTGAAACAGCAATACCTTTGCATGTGTAGCAGTGGACACCTACGGTTATGGTATCATTTATAGCTTAAGATAGGGATTGAGGTGATTTAGTCAACAAATATTTATCACAATAACTATCTAGGGGTCTAACCCCTTAGGTTTTGTCCTACTTCTCATGTAAATTCTTTCGTTGTTAATTCCGCTGTTACAGTACATTGCGTATTCAAGATTAGTCAATGGAAGTATATTCACCTGGACGCGTCAATGAAGTAGATGACCAACGATGCTATACTCAGAATGAACACCAACACTACCTGCAATTAGGAAATGTACAATTTAGTTATCAAAAATAACCCATTAGAACAATTAGGTTTGGTGACCCAAAAGCAAAATGAAGACAAATGCATCTTAGGAAAGGCTATGTTCAAATCTTAATCCAAATCTAAAAAAACTGTATCTTAATTTGGAACATAATAAATAAATATACATTTCAATGTCATCTGTGTTTATTCTGACAGTGTTATTCTGGCAAGGATTTGGAGGATAGTGAAGTCCTAATAGTTGTCCCACGCATCATGGAAATGTATATAATTATTCATATTGTTTGTATTAAAAAATAAACGCTTTCATTTCTCTATTGCAACTTCAACTGAGTTATAAAGCAATTTGTGTCAGCTATTTAGAGAAAAAAAACCTAAAAGCGCCTCAGTAGGATGTTGCGGGCTCTCACCGTGTTCAGAACGTTCTCCTTTGAACGTTGCTTTGTGTTCGCAAAACTTGTCTCAAAGCTTAGCAAATGCTATACAAGTTGGCTCCTAAATAGCACACTAGACTTCAGTTGAAAGGCTAAATGTACACAGAATTTTATGTAACACAGTTAAAATATCAAACGAGATAGTTAGTTATAATATTTTTGGTCTAATATTTTCGACTTATACTTTTTTCTCAGTTTTTTTGTCAGAGATTCAAAAAAAATATAGAGGAGGCATAGTTGACTCCACTTGAGACATTTTTCACATAATCTCACTAATGCTGTCTATTGATAACCTCAAAAGTACAATATAATTAAGAGTATTTAAATTAGTTGCCAATAGGACTCAGGAAATATAATACACAAGGTGACGTACTAAACTTGACAACTGATATATGTATGTACCAATGTTAACTGGTTGCATTAATAAAATTTTAATCATTTACTAAAAAACTGATAAAACACACTATATACATTGGTAAAACAGCATTATTAAAAACAAAACTTTGTTACATTGCTTGTTTCACATCTTGGTCTCATTCGCGCCTAAAATCGTAGTTTTTCTTTTTAATTCAAATCATGTCTAATGCATTCTAGGCGGCCAGTACGATATTAAATATTTCTCCACTATATTTTTGTAACATAAACAATTATACTTATATAAAATATGTTTATATTTAATACAAATATGCTTTTATTTTTAAACAAATGATAATATTTTACTACTGTTGTTAGCGCCATCTGTTATCATTAATGGCTAAACCAAGTACCCTCCAGAGAAAGTACAGTGAAACATTTATCTTTACTACGCTTCGTCCATATATTTTTTAAATGTTTTTTGGTCTTTGTGTAAAAGAACATTGATGTTTATGTGTCGGTTTTAATCCAGTCTGCACTAAAAACGGCCAGCAAAATAACCGTAAACATTGTTTAGACACGTGGTGAGAAACAATTTTATCTTAGATTCTTGTTGAAAAAAAAAAAACAGTGACAGTGTTATTTCAATTAACTATCTATAGGAATTACGCACTTGAAAATTGTAATTTCTTTATAAAAATATGCTTCAAACATTTCAATAATTATATTAATTGAAGAACACTTCGTAAGTTCGTTGATCTCACGGGTCAATGACCTTTTAAATATTAAATGTTCAAGTGTCTTCAATTTGTTTAAATCTCACCACCCACGTGTTTCGCGGCCACTTTACGACCGGCTAACGAAAATTTATGATGCATTGGATACAGTGTGTCGACTTACGTCGGTATTCAAATCTAGTTTAATTCCATATCCAAATGCGAATAAATTTGCGGTAATCAGAACAATTAAGTTACTTCAAGTCCGTACACTAAGGAGTATCCTTCATGAATAAGCTGGCGCACACCTTTCACGAAACTCTCGCGCAACCGCTGTGCGTTTGACGATTGTTTCGCAGCCAATTCAACTGTTTAGTTGCTCAACTAAAAATCGAGTAGTGTATCTCCATATAATCTCATAGGAATCAAATCGAGAGAAAACAGTTGTGCGATAGTTTAGTTTTAAATTTGCGCACGCTTTTAATGAATACAAAAGAGGCCTGTCCCACCAAATTGTAAATTGTCTGATAACAATCCAACGTGTAAAATATGTGATGAAAATATCGGATTTTGTTACCATATCTGACAGTTATGTAAGTTTTAAGCTAGATGAGCTTCTACCAGTGGTGGGACAGGCCCAAAGACTAGTTGCAGCAGCAAGAGCACATAGGATCTGCTCCACCATGACAGCCAAGCATGGTCTATATTTTTTTAACATTACAAATACCATAATAATCTATGTACTGCACATACAAATCAATATATTAAACCAATCCATTTACAACGAAGTCAAATCACGAGCCACTTAATATGCATTAAGAATTACATGAGTCAGTACGCATCAAGTCCACGTGATGTCATCCCTAAGGTGGAGGAGGTGATGTAATTCCTGTTGATTCAGAAATAAATGATGTTTTGTCTGTGCGATTATTAACACTTTGAATTGAACTTTGCACTTAGTATGTAGAGGAATATGAAACCATTTGTCTAAACTATTGTGATTTATGTAAATTTTACTTGTAGTATATTTTTACGACGCCCCCTTTTTAGTATTTTATGGAAAGGGTTTAAATAGGGTTATCCCAGATTGTATATAATCCTTTTATGGTACAGCGCTCTAGTTGGTTGACTAACCACGCCCCATATAACAATTAAAACTAATTCTGTTTTTTGAATTTGGAATCTCTTTGTCTTTGACGTTAACAATCCGGATGTATCGATAAGGCAGTTGTATCCGTTGCGAATTGTTTTTTATTTATTGCTTTAGTGACGCGGCAACTTCCGACGCGGATAGTAAAATATTGCTTTTGTGACCGGAACTATTCGTAGATATACGATCACGGTTTTATTCGACGTGAACAATCCGTTGTCGTTTCCGCTTTTACTTCTTTGATTCTCTATTTATTGGTTTCCTAAGTTTACGCCTTTGATTCTATTTATTTGGTCACTAAGGAAGTCCGTTAGAGAAGATTTTTCATTCTAAAATTACACTTATAGGGAATTAATGGTAGTTTTGTCTTCATTGTAACTGAAATCAATGGCGAGTGAGATTTTCTTAAATATGAGTTATTTAATTGTCTAGTTGTTATTTAAATTAAAAAAACTCCAACCAAAGAAATTGCACTTATAAATATTTTTCTCTTTTCTTTTAAGCTAACATTTTTGTTGTTGAAAACTCTGTTTAAATATGTAACGAGGCCGACGTGCACTCTCGAGGGACAAAGTTTAGATGGTCCAAGTTTCACCGCGACGCCTTGGCCACGCCTGAACAGTAAAGTAGAAAGTAAGCCATTTTGAAATATATTTTGATCATGAAATGTTACTAATGCTTTATACTTATGAATTACCTTATATGTTAATACTAGCTTTCGGCCGCGACTCGG